GAATTTGAATGAAGTTTTCATAACACCATGGCTGAGAAAAATGATGATGCTTCCAAGAATTGTAGACAGCTAGTAGTGTTAAGTGGTCGCCTTCCGGTTGATGAAATTTCGCCTTTTTCTGATCTGCTATTTCTTGTTTGTCCTTCAAGACAAAATAAAAATTTTCCGAATGTATATTTGAACCTCTTCAAATTCTTGAACAAAATTAAATTTGAAACATGCATTATGAGGAAAAGGGAAACCACCTTTGGTCTGTAGAAAACATTTTGCACCGACAACATTGAAACAATAGTGAGCACTTCATCCGAACAACATAAATCCACTGACATGATCAGCAATTTAGCCAAACTAGGTTCCAATGGAAATTCTGCCATCTAAATTCGAAATTCCAAATAATAACACTTGAAAAATTTAGAAAGAGATTCAAATATCCGTACAAAATAAAATAATTGTTAATTGAATAACCTGAAAGTTGATTTCTAATCTCAAATTGTTAAAACACTGACTACAGGAACCGACTGCAATTATAATAAATCGCTAGAGATCTTACTCCAGCTTTCTTATATTAACACTGCAATAAAATTTAGCCTTCTAGACGCAGTAAATAATGGAAAGATCTTTTGAGCTTCAAAAATGAACACCTGAAATGTCATATTACAGTGAGACATACCCTTCTACCAAGTCTGGTCAACAATCCATCATTGTCAAGAGCACTTAAAGTGTGCAATTGTGTTAAGGCTGTAATCATAGCTTCTACTGGCGGTGCATCCATAAAATCAAAATCAATTAAATTGTTGATGCCCATAGCTTTAAGCTGCAACAGTGTTGATGCAAGATTTGTTCGCTGTATTTCAGGCACAGGTGTCGGCAACATCTCATCCCTACAATGATAATATTCAAAGAAATAGTTGGTCAAAATTTGGAAATCCTCACAAATCAAGACTATTCCAAAGGATTGTTCGAAATAAAAGCTTAAAAAGAGTAAACAATCCATCAATCATACGACAGAACAAGATATGTTGCAGAAGAAATTTAGCAAAGTTCATGAAGTTAGAAAAAAACAACCTATAAGCTCTCTCAGTATAAAGTCTGTAGCATTTGCCAGGGCCCGTACGACCTGCTCGACCCGCTCTCTGCTTCGCTTGTGCTTGGGAAATTGGTGTAACCACCAGAGAATCCATACCACTTTTTGGATTATATATTTTTTGCTTTACAAAACCCGGATCGACCACATAATAGATTCCATCTATCGTCAATGAAGTCTCGGCAATATTCGTTGCAATTACCACCTGAAGTATGAATTTAGAATTTTTTATTGTTCCAGAAAACAATTCATGTTCTACTGATCATATAGCAGTTGAAGCAAATAACACAGAATTTTCACTTTTCGGCTGCCTGGTGGTGCAGGTTCAAATATTCGTGTTTGCATTTCGCTCGGCAGCGCACCATATACGGGTAAAATTATCAATTCAGGTACATCCGGACCAAGACTTTTCATTCTTTCGTATAAAACTTCGCAAGAAGTATCAATTTCTTCCTAAAAATTGCACTCGTAAAAAAACATATAGTAAGTAATCAGGTGAGAATCAATTTCAATTGCATTATATAAAGTCATAACTCGAGAACGATTCAAGTTCCGGAACAATTTGCAGAATTGAAGGTTTCATAAAGTTGTGAAATCATACTTGTCCAGTGAGAAATACAAGGATGTCACCAGGAGGTTCGGTAAGATGGATTTGCATAACAGTTATATGTGCAGCGTCCAAATAATCCGTTTCTGGTTCACGTGTATAAAGAATTTCGACAGGGAACGTTCTACCAGGTATTGTAAATATAGGGGCTTCATAAAAATATTCTGAGAATTTGACAGCGTCCAAAGTAGCACTACAAAGCAACTTATGATACCTAATCGTTAATTCCATTAAAATGAAGTAAAACAAAATTCGAGTCTTCCATTTCAAATAAATTTTAAACATGTTCTAAAGCAAGTCTAAATTTATTATGTTTGCAAAATCAAATGAAGTACTTTTACTTACCGTCAAAACAAGGTAACAAAGGTAAATGAAGAAATCAGAAACACACCTAGTAACAATTAGCTTGAGTTCCGGTCGTTTTTTCACTGCAGCTTTCAATAACCCAAATAAAACATCGGTATGAATAGTTCTTTCATGAGCTTCGTCCAACATTATTACCGAATATGATGTTAAATCCGGATCCAGCAAACATTCTCTGAGTAACATACCATCCGTCATGTATTTCACTACAGTGTCTTGGCTAAAAACATGCAAGATGCTGATCATCCCATAAAATAAATCATTTAATGAGTCAATAATTTTATTTCAAACTTCACAGAAAAGTACCGATTCAAAACACACATTCACATAACAATCTCCTTTACACACAATGCCAAAAAAAAAATCGAACAAACAAACCTTGTACAATCTTTAGACTCTGATAGTACGCGAAATCTCATTTATAATCGCAGTTTTATCAGTAATGCTGTCCAGGAATTTATTCTAATTATTTCCATGATGTGACACTTTTAAATACTTAATTTAATTTAATTTCATTTTCATCATTAAAAGAATCGATAAGCCATGATCATGCCATTTCAGAAATCATTCAATCCTTACAAAATTCTGCTTTTAAAACCCTTTTGTATTGGGGAAAAGTATTGTCAAATTTGTGAATTCCACTTTTTTTTATTTTTTATTTGTTTCCAGTTATTTGTTTATCTTGTCAGTTAGTTTTGTTTATTTGCAATTTCATTAAGTTTTAAATTTTTCTTTGAATTGTCTGTT